GAACAAGCCTTTGGTTTTGCAGAAGTTTGTCATGTGATCGCCAATGTCATTTCCACCACCAAGGCCATGTTTTCCAGCTACTGTCCTTCTTTGTTTCTACCTTTTGCATTCCACTCACCCAGAGGCATCTCTTAGTAGACTTGAACATCTAACCTTTGGATTAGCAGTTGAATGTGTTAACCTTTTGCACCATCCAGGGCAACCTGGTATTCTGTTTACATGAATGACAGAAATGTTTTGAGCACTCCGTCAGGAAATGAACCAATCCATCTCATCTGGGGAGGGATTGATACAGTAAATGAATCACGGGGTAAGTGAGTCAAAGTCAGGGAGACTGGCTCAGGACAGGGCAGGCTTTAGAGGGATTGTACATAGGGTCACTATGAGTCACAGGTGACTCGATGGCACACAATAACAACACAACAACAACATGAAGAAATGTATCTCCTAAGAGAAGGGATGAGCTTTGCCTTAAATTCATGTGGAGAAGGAGCAGAATCAGGTTTGAACTCAAGTGCTCTAGACACCAAGATATACACTTGTCCTGGCCACACCATTAGTAATTTGCGTCATCAGCCAGCACACAGTAGAACCAGAACAATGTGAATTCTCCCTTCCCTCCAGTCCACTGTGGCCACATTTATCCACAACCTGACACCTTCTCTGAAGAAGCACGTGGGGGACCTTGGGGAGAGAAGGTGAGTGGGGAGGCTCGAGGGAGGAAGAGACCAGAGGAAAACCAGTGGGACCAGGACGTCCTTCTCATGCAAATGGTTCTGTGTGGGCTGCGCTCCGTTTTGATTTTCTGGGGATCTGCTCTTTCATATTGGGCCATTGAAACAGGGAGAGATGGTCCCAGGTGTGGTGGGGGAGGGGAAGCTTATAGGGAAGCGAATGGGATGGGGGTGGGGAGAGATTACCTTCTTAGGGGCCAGGCCCACCTAACTAGGGGGTCGTCTTCTTGGGCCTCTTGTCTTCAGTCTGTCTCACTCTGCCTGTGTCCCCCTGTCCTGGTAGTTACCCCTCTTCCAATTCACAGCTCTGCCTCAGTTCCCTTGAGGATCCTCGAGTTCTCCAAGTAGGGGGATGTCCTTCAATGTCTCTTCTTCGCCACAAGGCCTTCCTCTCATCCCCCCAACTCTCTTCCACTGATTTCCTCTCATACCTTCGACCAGAGAGGGGGTGACACGCACAAACCCCTGGTGGAGAACCCCCCCCCAGCCCCACATCCCACCCCACGTGCCCTGTGAGACTGTCAGTTCTGGTGTGTGGGGCTCAGTCCCAGATGGCCCCCTTCCCTGCCCACAGCCAAGCAGGCCGGGGTCCCAGCTAGGAGCTGGGGGCGGGACCAGGGGGCGGAGCCCGCAACAAAGACGGGGCGCGGAGGGGGCGGGCCTGGCGGAATGCCGGCCGCCGGCGAGGCGGGGTCTGGCGGCGGAGGGTCGCCAGCCGGGAGGGCGGGGTCGCGCATGGTCGCGGTGCCGAGGCGCCTCTAGGGTGGGCGGGGGACCGGGGCGCGGGCCGGGGGCGCGTCATGTGGCCGCTCGGGCTCCCACCGCTGCTGCTGCCTCTGCCGCTGCTGCTGCTGTGCCCAGGCCTTGCAGGACAGGTAGGGGCCCGGTGGGCAGGTGCGGCCTCTGGGGCGTGGGGGGGGGCTCCCGGAAGGGAGAGGGACCCCGGAGTGGGGGGTCCCGGGGTGGCGTGTTGGGGTGACGAGAGCCCCCGGGGATGCAGGACTCGCGAGAGGCGGGGGGGTCCCTGCCGGGGGAAGGGGCTGGGGTGGCCACTTGGGCTTGGGGAAGGTGCAGGGGGGCGCCCTGCTTTAAGTCGTACCTGAAGCTGGGGTGATTTGGGGGACAGCCTGATGCCGGCTCCCGGGGTTCTCAACCTCTCAGTGACCCGGAGCCCACACCCCGCTATCTCGCTCAGCTGGGAGGTGGGAAGGACAAAGAGTTGGGGGAGAAACTTCAGAGGGCCTTGGGGTGCCGCGTCCCCTCCATTCCCCCCATCATGGCGGGAGGTGTGGGGTGCTTGGGGCCCCCGCCGCCGCCTGCATCCCCAGCCTGGGGAAGGGGGTGGGGCCCACGTGTGAGTGACTGACGGGGGGACCGTGCGAGCGCGGTGCAGGTGGTGGGCGCGGGGCGCAGGTGGTGGGCACGGCTGTGTGGCTTAGGTGGCTGGGCTGTGGCTTAGGTGGCTGGGCGTGACGGTTGGGGGAGTTTGTGGGTGAGGCTGCGGGAGTGTTTACCCACCGTACGTGCTCTGGGGTGTGATGGGTGGGGGGTCCTTACGTGAGTGTCTGTGTGTGGCCGTGGGTGGCGGGGCGGGAGGGCTGGCGTGAGAGTGCCAGACTTGGGAGCCTGCCACTCCGGGAGTTGGTGTGACTCCGGGGCTGTGTCGGCAGCTGCAGCTTGAGGATAAAGGACCATGTGTGTCCCCACAGCTCTGTCCATCTGCCTGGGTGTGGTGCACAAGCTATGTGACCAGGTGCCTGGCTGTGTGTGCAGTCCTTCTGACAGGGAGTGAGGACAGTGAAGGCTGTGTGCGCGCTTGTGTGTGGTCGTTGAGGTTGGTACCCAGCCCCGGAGCCATTAACTGAATGAGGGGACGTGCTCTTAGCTCAGTGACAGCCCCCCATTCATGCCTTTACAGAAGCAAATATCCCTCCCAATGCTATCCCACCATGGGTGGGGGGAGGGTTTGCAAAATGTAGGGGTGCCAAGTTCCCTTCAGCGATTGGGAAGCCTCTTCCCTCCTCCATCTTGGAGTTTGGAGCACCTTCACATCCAAGATGAGATCAGAGGGAAGCGAGGCTCAGATGCGAGAACATTCACCCCGTGCTCACTCCACAGCGTGGGTTAAGGTTCTTCATACCCCCAGCATGCGGTAGTGGGTGCTGGTACTGTCCACGTTTTATGGACGAACACTGAAGCAAAGAAAAGTTAAGTCACTCGCTCCAGCTCCGGCAGCTCTCGACCTGCACGAGGACTGAAGCCAGGTGTTCAATCTGGGCACACGCTGGTCTGTCTGTTAAGTAATCCTCTTCTGCCTCCTTGGTAGAGGGAACCCAGGTAGTTTAGTGGTAGGAGCTGTGCTGCCAGCCCAAAGGTAAGCAGTTCAAATCCACCTCCTATTCTGTAGAAGAATGATGGGCAATCTCCTCCCGTGTGATTTACAGCCTCGGAAACCCGCGGGAGGGTCAGCTATAGGTTGGTTTTGACTCAGTGGTACGTAACAACACTTCCATGGTTAAGGAGCCCTGGTGGTGTAGTGAGGAGGAGCATGTTGAGCTGCTAACTATAAGGTTGATGGTTCAAATCCACCACTATCGCTTAGGAAGAGAGACAAGAGTCTCCTCCCATTGGGGGTCACAGCCACAGAAACACGATGGAGGGTTGCATAAATCCAAATGGATCATGGCTGTGGGTAGTGGTCCTACTACCTGCATAGTGAAATCTTTGCATGATTTCAGTGGATGGCTCGCTCCATTCAGATGAACCCAGAGGGAGAAAAACCTGCTGATCCACTGGACAGTTGGCCCCTGAAAACCTTTGGAGCACAAGTCTATACTGACGCTCCTGAGCGGCGTGGGTCAGGACAGACGGCGGCCCTGGGTCAGGACATGCAGCGGCCGTGGGTGAGGACACACAGTGGCCATAGGTCAGGACAGACAGCGGCTGTGGGTGAGGACAGACAGTGGCCATGGGTCAGGACAGATGGCGGCCCTGGGTCAGGACACACGGCGGCCGTGGATCAGGACATGCAGCGGCCGTGGGTGAGGACAGACAACGGCCGTGGGTCTGAATAGATAGAGGCCGTGGGTCAGGACAGACAGTGGCCGTGGGTCAGGACAGACATCAGCGGTGGGTCAGGACAGAGAGTGGCCTTGGGTCAGGGCAGTACCTGGGCAGCTGTCACTAGTAGGAGGGTGAAGGTGGAGGCTCGAGTCCAGGTGTGGCAGCTTTTTGGACGAAGGCCAAATGAATTGGTTCTAGTGCCTACCCAGAGCAGGGACTGGTAGAGATGGGGGCTAGACTCTGGATGGCTGGGCCTTCAGGTTACAGGGAGAGATTTAAGGTCTTCTCCCTGCCTTGCTCCCTCGCTGGGTGGGACAGGGGTGTGTGTTCAGCGCCTAGCAGAGGGTTGGTATACAGAGGGTCTCGGCTGGCATGTGTGAGAAGCATGGGAGATGGATGAATGAGACACGAGACTCACACACACACACACACACACACACACACACGAAGAACTGGGGGACACGGCTGCCAGAAAATTAACAAGAAACCAAGTTCAAGTTGGTTTCCAGCAAGGGTCCTTGAAACCACCAATGAGGGGGCTTCCTCAGTCCGGTGGTGAGGATGGAGCCAAACTGTTGGAGTCGGGCTGGTGGGGATCCGGCCAGGACCTGCAGTGCCTCCAGGTGGCCACTATGGGGAGTATGTTGTTGTTGTTGTTAAGTGTGGTTGAGTTGCAGCTGACTCATAGCCACCCTATGAACGAAAGTCCTAGACACTTCCTGTATAACTTTCATCCTTTCTCTAGGTTCATAGGGTTTCTGGAGGCAAGCTATTCCGGAAGTGGATGCCACTCCTGCTTCCAAGCTTGTTTTAATCGGGGAGCTTCACCAAACACTGTCCACCTTGGGTAACAGTATTCGGTTTCACAGCAAGCACGAGTTACTTCTGTACAGCAAGTGGACATATCAGGGTGACACAACCTTTGGCTAATTAATACTACAAATGAATCACATTTATCTGTGAGGTACTTCCTGAGAAAATACCGCAGCTCCCTAAAGATCTGTTTAAAAGTCTGATGTGCTTCCCTAGAACTAGGAATAACCTCAATGAGTTCAAAGGTGTGTCAGCTCTGCCTGGAGGCCTTGGCGCCCTTAGTTGAACAGTGCAAAAGCACAAGAAACAGATTCACCACTTTTTCTAGCAGTGAGGCACTTTCTTAAGCTGTATTTTGACATGCTGGTTTTGCAAGAGCACAATACCGAGATGACGACTGCAGTGGGTGAAGCCTTCTACACGTCGGTGTGCCTGCACCAGGCTGTATAGGATTGTGAAAAGTATCGGCTCTTGGGGTGCTTGTTCACCTGGCTTGGTATTCCAGGGGAAGGAGTGAGGGAGCCTGGAACCCGAGTTGAAACAGAATGCTCTGTGCTCCCTACAGCCCCTCCATCCCTTCCCAGGGCTCCCTCTCCCTGTCCCTGACCCTTGCTGGGTACCAGAGGTCCCTCCTAGAAGGCATTCATCTTCTCACTCAATCACCACGTGCTCCAGTCTCTGAGGTTAACGCCGTGAGCCAAGTGATCCCAATTTCTGCCCTCTTAACACTGGCCTTTTGGCAAGGGATACAGAAACGAACCAGACAGCATACAATGCAATGCAAGTGGAATGAAGGATAATGAACAGGGCTGAAGACATTTGGAAGACAGCTGCCTGGCCAAGCGACCGGAGGAGATCCATTTTTGTGCCCATTCCAAAGGAAGGTGGTCCAACAGGATGCGGAAATGATCAGACAATATCATCAATAATAACACACAAGAAGAATTATGCTAAGGATACTTTACAAATGATTGCAGCAGTAAATGCGTAGACCAGCAAGTACCAGAATTTCAAGCTAGATTCTGAAGAGCCCATAAAATAAGCGATATTGGTGCTGTTGTTTCCAGGCTGAAAGCAGAGGATACCAGAAAGATGTTACAGCACGAGTTTCATTGGCCATGCAAAAGCATTTGACTGTGTGGATCATAACAAATTATGAACAGCTCTGCGAGGAATGGGGATTTCAGAACACTTAATTGTGCTCATGCAGAACCTGTACATAGACCATGAGGCACTTTTTTGGAACAAAACAAGGGGATATTGAGTGGTTTAAAATCAGGAAGGCATGAAATTTTCAATTGCCTCATAAGCATGTGAAAGCTGGATAATGAATAAGGAAGACTGAAGAAGATTTGGTGCCTTTGAATTATGAAGTAGATGAAGAATATTGAATATGCTATAACCTGCCACAACGAGCAAATCTATCTTGGAAAATGTGCAGCCAAAATGTTCCTTAGGAAAAAAAACCAACCAATCAAAATGTTCCTTAGGAAAAAAAACCCAACCAACCAAAATGTTCCTTAGAAAGGCGGATGGCGAGACTTTGTCTTAAGTCCTTCGGATATGTTATGGGGGTGGGGGTGAGTGAGAGGCAGTCCCTGGGGAAACACAGTATTCTTGGTAGAATAGAAAGTCAGACAAAAAGAGGAAGGGGCTCATTGAGATGGACTAACACGGGAGCTGCTGCAACGGCTTACACATGGCAAAGACTGTGAACATGGCAGAGGACCAGGCAGGGGACGCAGGGTCTGCTGGGCGTGAGGTCTTTGTGACTGGGAGCTGGCCTATCAGGGCTTGTCGAGAACAAAATGCATGAGAGAATGACGCGCTTCAGTAACCAGGGAGGAGGCCTCTAAGGAGATCATATGTGAGGTGACATCTGGAAGGAATGAAGGATGGAATCTTGATCTATCTGGAGGGAGAACACGCCATGCAGCAGAAAAGAGCAGATGCAAAGGCCCTGAGGTGGGAAATGAACTTGGCGTGTTTAAGGAGCCGTGAGAAGGTGAGCAGGAGGAAAAGAGGTGAAGGCAAGGAAGCCGGGAGGGGCCAGGCCATGTAGGAACATGGGAACTGTGAGCCGGAGTCTGAGTTTGAGTTTGTGTGAACTTTCAGAGGTATCATCCATGTTTATCATCCATCCATCCATCCATCCACCCACCTATCTCTCCATCCACCTGCACACCCGTATCCATCCATGTACCCATCCATTCATCCATCCACCCGCCTGCCCACCCATCCACCATCCATCCACCCGCCCACCCATCCACCATCTGTCCACCCACCCACTCAGAATAGATCCTAGGTGTTCAGGGATCTGGCCATGAATGACCTGGGAACTACCACAGGGCTTGACAGCTCAAAGTTCCACTACCATCTTCAGAATGCCCTCCCTGACCAAGTGCTTGCTAAGATCTAGGTGAACCCTCGTACTATGCAGGGTAAAGACCACCTCTTTTACTGGATTCCCACAGGATAAGGGAGAATAGTCTAGTTGGGATCCTATACTTCAGAGCCATTTTGGACTTGCCACTACGTAACTGCCTGGGACACCCTTCCTCGGCTAGCTAGGTGGTCCTCTCTCTTCTCTTCCTTCAGATCTCGGCTTAAATGTCACTTGCCACTGAAAAATGAGGAACTCATAAAATATACAAAATGGATGACCCTAGAGGGCATTATGCTGAGTGAAATATCTCAGTCACAAAAGGACAAATATTGCATAATGCCACTCTTATAAAACAGGACTGACATGGGGGTTTGGGGAGAACGAAAAGAAGGGGTAAATAAAGTACACTGCATTGAAACAGATGAGGGAAAGAACTGTTGAAAAGGAATATATAATTAGGCATTATTTGCATGACAACAGTCCAGATTTAGAACTGCATAACAAAGTGGACTGGGGATGGGGGAAGGAAATTGTGCAACAATGAAAGAATTTATTTTTTTCCCAAAGAGAAAAGCGAACTGGGCAGGAGGTGGGGCAGGGAGGAAAATGTGCAACAGTGAATGAATGGAAATCCAAGTTCTCTATAAACTTGCATTAAAATATATTAAAAAAACAAACAAACAAACACCCAAATCAGTTGCTTCAGAGAAGTATGTCCTGAAAATCCATCTCAACTATTTCCCCCTGCCACGGCCATCCAGTTCTCTGGTGTTCTTTTTCCTCCATAATCCTAGCTCTTTGTGATTTGCATGTGCTCAAGGTCTTGGCCGTGTCCCCTGTGCCTGGAACACACAGACTTATCAAACACTTGTTGAATGAATGATTGGATTGTTAGTTGCGGTCGGGTTGATTCGGCCTCTGGTGACCCACGTACAGGAGGAAACTTACTGACAGATCCTGCACCGTCTTATAATCGCTGGCCTGCTTAAGCCCACTGTTGAGGGCCCTGGCTCTCTAGCCTTCAGACCTCGGGCACTCCTCTTCCAGCCCCGCCCCAGACAGTGCTCTTTCTCTTGTGACCCACAGAGTTGTCATGGGCTCATTTGCAGGGTTGCTCCTCAGAGGCGAAGGGGTGAAACTTCATCTCACATCCTGTGGACATGTCGCCAGGAGGGGGCCATCCTTTAAAAAATAAAAAAAGGAGAGGTTGATTAAAGAGAAGAAGACCCTCGATGAGATGCGCTGACAGAGCGACTATAGCAATGGACTTGAGCATGGCGGAGGCTGTGAGGGTGGCGCAAGGTCTTTTTTAAAAAAAATTAATTTTAATGAAAGTTTACAGAGACTTAGGGTTTCCATTCATTCATTGTTGCACTTTTCTCCCTGCCCACCCCCTCTACCCCATTCACTCTTCTCCTTGAAAAGCAAAAGAAAAACTCTTTCATTGTTATACAGTCCTTACCCCCCAAGTCCACTCCACTGTGCAGCCTTCATTCCGGACTCCTGTCATGACAATAATACACAATCATATATCCCTTTTAAACAGTTCTCTCCCTCATCTGTTTCAATGCAGTATACGTCATTCCTCCTCTCCTTCTCTGCCTTCCCTCAACTCCAATGTCAGTCCTGTTTTACAACAGTGCCCCTGTGCAATATTTGTCCTTTTGTGATGGAGATATTTCACTCAGCATAATGTCCTCCAGGGTCACCCGTTTTGAATAATATTGCATGAATTCCTTGTTCTTCAATGCAGCATAGTATTCCATTGTGTGAATATACCAGAGCTTCTCTATCCATTCGTTTATTGATGGGCACTTGGGTTGTTTCCGGCTCCTTGCTATCGTGAACAAAGCCCCGATGAACATGGGTGTGCATGGAACAAACTTTTGATCTGATCTTCGTAGGTTTGCTCTGAGTCATTAGACTCTACGGCACCTACCAGCAGCCACAGTTTGCAAAAGTGGATCACTCAGCCCTTCTTCCTAGGGTCAGTCTGAAACCTGTCCATTGTGAGTGCCCCTGCTGGCATTGTAAATGCCAATTGCACCACTTCCAGTCTTGACAACATGAGAGGCACCGCACTATGACAAAACAACAGAGGGGTGGTGCAAAGGAATGGGTAGACACCACCCCTCCATGCACGCACGTGAATGCACACACACCCCTGACTTCCGTCCAACATCTTCTTTTTTGTCAAACTCATTCACTCAGTTGCCCAAATGTCAGGGAAACGAATTTTAGCTCAGACAAGGTGCACCTTTTATTTATTCTGGTCCATCACCTCTCCTGCATTGGAAGCATGTGGAAGTCCCTCTGTTATAAGGCACAATCATTTGGGATTACGAGGCTATTGTTCTGAGCTCCTTGGGGAAATGGACATGTCTCAGTTGGAGAGGCGTAAAAGGAAATCTGAAGGGGTTCCTGGAATAACTGAATTGGATGTTTTCTTTCCAGAGAAGCAGCTGCATAAGGCTGGGCCTACAACTCGGGGTGCAGGAGTGACACCTAGTGGTAGTGTGAGGTTTGTGCAGGGCGTGTGTGTGTGTGTTGGTGTGACTGGTACAGGCGTGTGGGTCCACGTGGCCGGCAACGTGGGAGTGTCAGAACTTGGACCAGGGTGAGGCGAGGGGCGCACTCACCCCAGCTGCAAAACTTGGGTGGGGGGACTTGTGTCCAAAACAGTAGCAAACATAAGCATTTACACTCTCTGTTGATCAAAATATCTGCCCCCCCCAAAAGCAATGAAATATAAAAATTGTAAAGACAGACAAAGGTCGGGACTGGGGCGAGCTTAGCAATTACATGACAGACATTTTTTGTCAGAGTCAGCTCTGAATCCCACCAGCCCCTGCATACAGCAGAAGCAGACTCTGCATGATCCTGCATGGTCCCCCGTAGCCCCCCACGCGAATGAGCTCCATGTTGGAGTCCTTGGGGGGCGTTCTGTGTCCTCGAGGCCCTTCCTTTTTGTCCCCGACCCTCTATTGCACCGAGCCCGCTGCCCTTCTCCAGGCCCTGGTCGCTCCTGATGAACAAGCCTGAAGTGTGTGAGATGAAGTCTCTCGGTTCTTGCTCCTAGGAAACATTTGGCAACACTTTATTGGAGACAGATTTGTTGATGCTTTTGGCAGCTCAGGGCTTCCAGGATTCGATTCCTCGCCAGCCCCATCAGTCACATGCAGCACGCGTCTGGATTTTGTATTTACTTAAAAGTTTTGATGCCTTGTTTATTCTAAGGGTGTGTGTACACGCGCAGGCCTGTGGGTGAGCTACTGTTGAGTTGGCCCCCAATTCATAGTGACCCCATCTCCATGAAACTTTCAGGGGTTGAGTTTTCTTTCTAGAAGTCGGTTGCCAGCCCTTTCTTCCTAGTCTTATCTGGAAGCTCTGTGGAAGCCTGTTCAGCTTACAGTCACACGGAAGATCCCATCGACAGGTAGTGACTGCTCTTGGGGTCAATGCACTGGCCAGGGCTGGAACTCAGGACTCCTACCTGCAAGTTGAGGCGTCCACCACTGAACCGCTTGTTATTTCTGTTGTTAGTGGCCAACAAGTCCACCGTAACTCATAGCGAACAGTAAATCTGAACCTTGTCCCAGCCTGTGCTGTTGTTGTTGTTGCTGAGTACCGTCAAGTCAGAACCGACCCATAGCTGACCCTCCAGCAGGTTTTCAGAGGCAGTTAATCACATGGGAGGAGATTGCCCATCCTTTTCCTGCGGTGCAACTGGTGGATTTGAACCATGTGCCTTTGGGATTGCAGTGTAGCTTCTTGCCACTAGGCCACCAAAGCTCCCCCCCCCCCATTATGGTAAAATACATGTAACAAGCACTTGGCATCACAGTCATTTTAATGTGTAAAATCTAGAGGCATTATTTACACTGCATTGCACATACGGGGTCGGGTAGCCTAGTGAATAAGAACTTGAACTGACACCTCAAAGGTAGGCAGTTTGAATCCTCCAGCTGCACCATGGGAGACAGAAGGGCAGTCTCATTCCATGCGATTGATAACCTCAGAAAACCCATTGGAGGGTCAGCTAGGAATTGGTTCCAACTCGATGACACACAAAACAAATTCTTGGGGGAGCATTTTAGTCTTAGTTTTGGGTGTTAACTTTGATTTTCAAAAGCACTATCTTAAAATAATGATTGTCATGATGATTGGATCTTTTTCTATTTTTAAATTTTATTTTATTAATTTTAATGAATATTTACAGACACTTTGGATTTCCATTCATTCATTGTTACATTTTTCTCCCTGCCCACTCCCCTCCAGTTTGTTCTTCTCTTTGAAAAGTAAAAGAAAAATTCTTTCATTGGTATACAATCCCCCCCACCCCCCCGAGTACACTCCACTATGCAACCTTCATTCTGGACTCTTGTCATACCCATAATACCCAATTATATATCGCTTTTAAACTGTTCTCTCCCTCCTCTGTTTCAATG